AATAAATATATATATATATATATATATATATATATATATATATAATCTCTGCACACACAGATATCAAAAAGGAATCCGCAAACCTTCAAAATAGTTTTCATTTAGGATGTGATTTCAGCTCTTGGGCTCAGAAAGTCTGAGTGTCTGAAAGAGTGACAGGAAAACTGAAGTTCTCTGGGAAAGAGATTATGAAACCCCAAGTAAATGCAAGGCATTGCTGAGAGGTGGAAGAGATTTAGTGTCTTGGAGATTGGCTCTGACTGCTATACAGACAGTACAATACTCTGTGTGTGTACACATACTCATAAAAATTAATACTTATATATAAAATAAATACACTTTTTATTCATAACTGGTAAAAAAGCACAAAAGAAGGAAACCAAAGACTCAATGCTGGTATGTATGATTACATATCCATCTCTACCTCTCAATAACGTTATCTCTTTAACAGTCATTGCTTCATCACAAAAGAGTTCATTTACAGAAAAGTTGCATCCGGGTGCTCATTAATACTATACAGCCAACATACACATTAAGTTTGTTTCTGGCAAATGTCAAGTTTAATGATGTTCAGAGATTCACTAAGTGTTACCAGGATTTCATAATTCATCCAAAAGATCACACTGCTTTCTATCACAATGGAAGATAACTGATCTGCTTCCATTGCAGTACATTTTAACTTACCTTATTTCAAACTGAGAGCAACAATTACAAATAATAACTTCTGGGTAAATTGATACTTTAATTGAAAGACTAAACTAGTGATATCTAACAGCAGAAAGGTATGCAAGCCTTCACTCATAAACCCACTGGAGAGAGTATCTTTGATCTGAGCCTCCACTCTGAAGACTGTACAAACAGATCCTTGCTATGGAGGATCAGTAATGTACACTAAAAGATGATCAACCTTCCTGTACTGCCTCTTCAGGAGAAATTGTCAGCAAAATCTAAAACTACGTGGCTTATGCAACAACATAAATTCACAGACTTATAAATGTGTGAAGCTGAAGTGGAGAAAATGAGTAAAATTTAGGATATTTTAATAATCTGCAGAAAGTCTCCTGTGGATTTTTTTGTAGAATTTTCAATGAATTTGAAAGAACACACTCATGCCCACACCATACTCATTAGGTTTTCCTTATCCATACTACTCTTCAAGCCCTATCTAAGTATTAACCGCTCAAATACTGATCTGCAGACATGACAGGGGGTATGCTAACAAGGTGCCAATGTTTGGGCCAGTGTACCATTCTTGTTCAGCTTAATGAAACAGCCATAAGGTAAGCATAGAGAAACTAGTTTATTAATCACCCCAGAAGTAGGAACAAGTGGTAGCTGTAACAGGCTTAGAAACTACATATTAGTTTTTGTTAAATGATCCCAAGTGTTCTTGACTACCATTTATCTATGCAGGATATAGCACTTGGCGACTGAGGCAAGGGCCATACTTATGACTGAATATAAGTCAAGTATCTACAAACTATTCAACAAGAAGCAGGAAACCTGAGTTCTGCCTGGAAATAGGATTCTCTATGGGAACTTCAAAAAAGAAAATTTCAAGCAAGAGAACTTGTATTCATAGGAAAGAAAACACCTTAGCACCAAGCAATGTGATTTCATTACACCAGGTTATTTGACACAAGGAAGTAAAACTCATTGTAGAGTAGTATTACAGCCTGATATTGCAGAAAACAAGATACGTTTGTCACCTTGCCTTAAGAGTACTTGGTTTCATCGTAGAGGCCACAGCAATAAATTAAAATGTAGAGATGTCAAGAAGAGTTGTTTCATATCCTGCAAATATCCTTCAATTCCTTCAACTACATTTCTAGGAATCAATTTTAAAAGGTGAAAAAGACTTGTTTGAACCTGTCTGCAGCCCACTTCATCACTGCTAAACATGAAAGCCTGTTATCTTGTCAAGGGGAAGAAAGGGGCCAGGATAATGCTTTCAAATAATATGAGTACAGTGTATGCTCCTGGCAGATATCCAAAAATCAGTGATGGGAAGCCTCCTTTTTTCCACTAGATCCTTTGCCTCTTATTCAATTAAAACAAAACAAAACAACCACAAACCCTTTAAGAGTTAAGATCCATGTCAGCAGTTGTAATAACCAGACAGTATGGATTCACATGCCAAGAATATGTGTATCACAGACAAGCTCACTTACAAAGACCAGTTAGATGAAACTGAATCCAGAGTAAGTAGGAGTGCTGACAGAAAACTCAGTGAGCGACCTGAGAAGCTCCCAATAGCAGTGAAACCTCCTTATGATGTACCTACACAGCTGTTTATTTACTGCGGTCTAGGAGTAAGTTTGAATCCTTGCTGAGCTCTTACAAAACTGGATATCCATAAATGATACCTAGCCATTATACTCCTAACTTCAGTCAGCTGAAAGATCCCACGCTGGCATAAAATGTCCAGGTATCATTTTTTCACCCTGTCAAAAAGACGCATTTCTTGTTTTCAACTCCACTTCAAAGTGCCACAGCTATAACAGCAACATACCATAAAACCAAATATATTCTCAGCTCCCAAGTATGGCTTTTCATTGTTCCAAGTCAAGTTCAAAGCAATGACACCCATTTTCAAGGAGCTTCCTAG